CTGGGGGACCTAGGGGGCTTTGGGGCCGTTACCAGGGCCTGGGCTCGTGGGACCCGAACGGTCTCGAACCAGCCTGGGGACTGGGCCCGATTGCCTTCCCACCCGAGTTTCACGTGCCCGCCGGCCTCCCAGTGTCCGCAACTTTTATCTATTAAAAGATCTCTCCATCTTGTATCTGTCTTCTTTTTCGCTTATGACAACTTAAACTTTACCACGAAATTTTACCCACAGAAAAGCGAATAGCAAGTAAATGCTAGTTTTGACGGATTGTAAAGTAAATCCCAGAGTCACCATCGCTCAGGTTAACACGTTGTTAGCGCCCCACTTAAAGCTCCCCTCTAAGTTCCCGACTTCCGTGGTCCTTATGTCCCGCGTTTCTCTTATTTTGTCACTTAAACCATGTAGTCTTGGTGGAAGTGGAAGCATGCAGTTTGTGCCCCGCCGTGTGTGGCTGCCCCTTCTAAACATCATGACTTTAAGAATTGCTTTGCTGCATGAAAAAATGAAGCATTCGTCCTCTCTGCGGTCGTCTCCTTCTCAAGACTGTTCCCCCCGGCTTCATCCGTCCCACTGCTCACGGGCTAGTTTTCCATTTTAGGCTGTTATGAATAATTCCGCAGTGAATATTCCTGTACATGAGCAGGCATAGGGTACATACTAAGGAAAGGGATTGCTGGCTCAGTGGGCTGATTTGTCTTCAACTGGACTAAATTGCTTTCCAAAGTGGTCATGCCGGGTTATGCCCTTTCACAAGCAGTGTATGCGAATTTCTGATGCTGGCACCCTCCCTCAGGGTGGTGATTGTACAGTGGCTTCCTAATGTAGTTTTAGTTCAGATCTCCCAGCCTTGTAAAATCAGTTGAGCGTCTTTTCATGTTTATTGGGCATTTTGAGTGCATCTTTTCTAAATTACCTGCTCAGCTTCACTTTTTTTATAAATGGCAAATACACATCTTAGTTTTCCAGCTGGGGAGACCTTCTGTCCGTTATGACTGAAGATGAGTGAATAGGTAAAAGCTTTATCTTAAAGAGGTTTCTGCCTCGACTGGAAGGGAGGCGGTTAATTTAGTTTGAAACAGAATGACACAACTGTCGCCTCACTGCAGAGCTAAGGCGGAAATGCAGGCATAGTCCATTGTCCCTCAACTGGGACAGAAAGGGAAACCCAGAGTGGGGAGCATCACATCTCTCTTGAAACCAAGTCCTTTTTTCTTTCTTTCTTTCTTTCTTTCTTTTTCTTTTTCTTTTTTTTTTTTTGAGTTGGCTACCTAACTTCCTTTGGGCAGTTAACTGTGAACCTGTAACTGAGAAGTCACACAGTCCCTCTTCCCTAGCAGATGCCAACAATGTGGATAGATCATTAGAAATGGAGCATATCCAGGGGAAATGAGAGCAACATAATCTGCTTACAAATAAATTCATGTAAAGTTAAACAAATGGATAAACATAACATGCCAGGTCATAGTCTAGCCTGAGCAAGGGAAACAGGCCAGCGCTAGAGGGTGTGATGTGTAAAGCACACACTGAGCATTTCTGCGTTCCTCAGACTTACTTCCGGTCGACGCCTGAGGGTTTTCACTGGCACACTGAACTCTTTATTCTTTGCTCCACCCAGAAGGTAGTCACTTTGCCTTTCTTTGCTGTTCGATCTTCAACAAGGCAAGCAGGCAAGGGGAGGTGGGAGAGAGGGACCTAGCTCCACCGGAAACAGGCAGTAACCAGCCGGGTGGGGTGGGGGGGTGGGGGTGGCAGAGCAAGGGAGCCCAGTGAGGAGAAGCCCTGTGGCAGGGGTAAGGGGGGCCTGTGGGCTTTAGGCCCCAAAGGACAGCACGGCCAGCACACGGAGTGTGACGGAGAATGAGGAGAGAAGGTAGCCAGGGGACCAGTCACACACGCTAGTTATCAAGCCTGGTTAGGGGCTTTGCTCTTTAGCCTGAGAGGTGGTTTTGACCTCTGACTGCCACCTTAGGGATGGACTGGAGGGGTGGGCCAGAATGGGTGCCAGGTGGAAGCAGGCCAGGGGAAGAATGGTGTCTTGGACTCAGGCAGTGACCGTGGAGGGACGCTTAGAAGCCAGTGGATTGCAGAGTTGACAGCAGCTGGTGATGAATGGGTTCTGCGGCAGAGGGCGGTATTAGCAGTGACAAGGGGAGGAACAGATGCTCCTTAAGCTTACCAGCAAACAGGTGTGAGCACACGCTCCTCCTACACACTCTATCATGAGTGCATATTTATAATAAACTCAAGGTCACGGTCTCACGGATCCTTCTGACTAGTTCTGAGCATCTTACTCATGCTTGATGTATTCTTTGCTCCATTCAAATGGATTACCTTTTATGAAGGCTCATGAGTCTGGAAGTAGGTTGTATATTGTGACTATTGGGAGGTTTCTTGTCATTCCTTTTTAAAGTCTGTAGAAATTTGAGATTTATTCCTTAGCATTTATAATTGGTTATTTATTGTGTACCAGTCCACTATACCAGGCAAGAAGGATGCAAAGATTACAGTAAACAAAGGATGTATTTCTTATTTGTGGAGATATGCATTTTAGCAGTGAAAAAGTTCCAGATGATTCTAAGATGGGAGAGTGCTAGTACTGCCTAGACAAGGATTTGGGGAACTGATCATTTGACCCCCGTGAACATATTTCTAAACCAAAGGACAACTTTTTTTTTTAACCTATGTGTGCGCCCTTTTCCCTTCCATTAGTATAAATTATTGATTACATTCTCATTGCCCACCCCCATCTTTTTCTAATCATTTATGTAAAGTATTTTGAACTAGTTTGATATAAAGAACAATTTGTGTTCATTTCCTAGCCTTCTCTGTTCTTGAAGACTAAATGACCTAGGAGTCATACAATTTCAAAGTGGCTTTCAGTCACAGCGTATTTTGTTTGTTTTATAGCGCTTGGGGGTTGATTTGCAGGACCCATTGGATGGGGGACAATGAGATGATTCCGCTACTTCATTTTTACGTCTTCTAGAAGATGGGGGGTTGATGAACTCAGGGAACTAAGTAGAAGACAAGTGGTCAGATTTCAGCAGAGTGCTCTGACAGAAGAGGCAGTGAACATCTCGATATCCGTTTGTTCAGGAAGAGTGTGACCCGTCGCTTCAAGCCCTTGAGTCCTGCCAAGATGACATTTTAAAACGTCTGTATGAATTGAAAGCTGCAGTTGATGGTCTCTCCAAAATGATTCAGACGCCAGATGCGGACTTGGATGTCACCGACATCATCCAAGCCGATGAGCCCACCGCTTTCTCCACCAATGCAGTGGACTTAAATTCCATGCTCGGAAAGGTACGTTCATTGGGAAAGCTAAGGGCCATCGGCGTGCTGAGTAGGGGTCGTTAGTGCCACAGAACCGTGAGGAAAGCCTTCGTTTTCCAGTTTTCATAGGTGGTGAAGAAACATGTTTTTTTGTTTTTTCATTCCTCTAAATGATCATGCCTTTGCACAAAACAGATTGATGAGCTTTGAGTAAAGCCAGTCAACCTCTAATGCAGCTTCTTGATTTCTCAGACCCAGCAGAAAACAGGGAGGCTCCTTAGGCAAAGAAGGGAGTCAGGAGTCACAGATCCCTCACCCCCACCCCCCGGCAGCCTCCAAGCCCTGGAGTAACAGACCTCGGGTCTTCTGCTCAGTGCTTCCCAGAGGTGCAGCAGAGGCAACCCTGACTCTTTTGAGAGCAGCCCGAATTTCAGAGCTTTGGCTGCCCAGGCACAAAAATCCCCCTAATCCTTTTGGCATTTGTTGCTAAAAGCCAGTCACGGTCTCCTCCTTCAGACGTATTTTGCTTACAGACAGTATGCTGTATTAAAATTCGGTTGCCCCAGCCACCTTTAACATCAGTCTACAGATTTCAGCTAATTTAGAGCACAGTCTGATACGCAAAGAAAAAGTCTTGTTACAAGTGGTATTTATTTGAGGATGCAAAAGGGTTTGTCCCAGGAACCCCTGCTGGCACCCTTCCCTAGAACTGGTGATAGAAATGGTCCTGCCACGTGGAGGCAGTATTGCAGCATCCTGCCCAGGGCTCAGTTTTGGTATCGTCAGTACCTCTGCACTCGTGTGTTCCTGCATCATCCAGGACGGGTTTACATGCACCCGGGGCCCAGGGAGACCCAACCCAGCCAGTCCCCCAGGGAGCCAGTCGGCACAGTGGGCGAGTGGGTAAGCACAGCTGTGCGGGGTGTCTCAGGGTGCCGGGAAGGCCTCCCAGTGCACACAGGGCTTATGAATTTTGATACCTCGGAAGGCACAGCGTCAGGTAACACGATGTGTTCAGAGAACCGCAGAGCATCCAGCATCACTCCAGTCAAGGGTGTCAGTCGGGGTGGCAAGACTAGAGGCCAGGTCGGAGCAGGCTGGGGACAAGAAGCCAAGGAGTTTGGCCGTTGCTCTATTACAGGAGTTCCTTGGTCATGAAGAGAGATCGTACAGACATAGTCTGCGTCTGAAAAGGCACTTTAGTTAACACCTCGTTTTTTAGAACCTCCCTGGGCCAGGACCTTTTTCCAGGGGCCCTTCGTTGACAGGTAACTCAAATTGCTGTCAAAACTGTATCCTGTCAGATGTTGGAAAGGTTTAGTAACTGGAGTAATTGCACGGGTTATTTTTTTAACTTAGGGACAAACAGAAGTGTCCTTCCTAACGCGCTGCACTCCTTTGATGATAAAGTCAGCTTTCCTTTGTTGGCAGCGGGCAATGCAGAGGTGAAAGAGTCGGGGTCGGCTCGGATCCCAGCCCCGCTTCTGAGCTGAGGGCGCCGGGAATCCCCTCCCTCCCCAGCACCCGCGTCCTCAGCTGGAAGGTGGGATGACAGTCATACTTCCTGGAGCGAATTGAAGGTTCAGGGAGCCAAGCCTGGTTAGGCTCTAAGAATAGCACCTGGTCCAGCGGCAGTGCCCGTGCTGCCGCTGATGTAACCTCCTCGGTTGGGGTTTGCTCCCCCAGGACTACGGGGCGCTGAAAGACATCGTGATCAACGCGAACCCCGCCTCACCACCCCTCTCCCTGCTCGTGCTGCACTGGCTGCTCTGTGACCACTACAGGGTCCTGTCCACGGTGCACACGCACTCGGCAGTCAAGGGCGTGCCAGCAAACCTCCTCAGGTGCTTCGGCGAGCAGACGAAGCAGCAGCCCCGCCATGAGTATCAGCTGGGCTTGACTCTGATTTGGAAGAACGGTAAGTGGACGGGACCAGCGCACCAGGGTTTTAACTGGAGGCAGCCCGGGGCAGGGACAGGGACAGGGACGTCCTCCAGCTCTAGGGGCTCTTCAGCTGTTTGCTGTCAGGTCAGGTTTTCTCAGTCCAGAAAGCTTTGGTGGGGAGAGGTCAACAAGACGGACAGTTGCATCTTGACCCAGAGATGCTCTCCTTCCTCTGGGAAGCCCAGGGTAGCGACTGAGCGCAGTTTTAGGGGGGATCCCGTCTCACCAGCCAGAGCAGGGGAGGAACGGCTGTCACAGCCACCTTGCCCTCACAATCCAAAACCTGTAGCTATGGGGACACTGACGTTATCTTTTAATGGACGTTCTCCATTAAAGGATGGCAGGGTATCTTTCATTCATTATCCCACTGGTGTCTGCCTCCTCCCGGGGTAGTTCATAGAGAGGGAAGTGAGTCAGCGCCCTCTATCCAGGAAGGCCTTAACTGCCCTCAGCCTCACGTCAAGAGACCTGCTGGGGCAGGAGGTCCTGGCCTGGAGCCGGGTCTCCTGGGGTCCAGTCCCCATCCTCCAAATTCTTAGGGTACAGGGGTTGGAATAGATGGTCGGAGATTCTTTCTAGCTTGAAAAGTGTCCTAACCAAATACCAGAAAGGGTTCCTTTTTTTTTAACAGATAGCTTGCACTCTTTAAAGTTTAAACCTTGAAGAGTAACCTTTTGGAGACAGTCTAGAAATACGATTTTCTTGAAGACACGCTCTCCCTCGCCGCCAGGTCACGACTGACGGGGACTCGCCTTTGCATGTCGTACCGCTCTGTACCACGCCCCGCCCCCGTGCCATTCTGGCTGACGGTGCTTCTCTCCCTTTCAGTGCCGAAGACGCAGATGAAATTCAGTGTCCAGACGATGTGTCCCGTCGAAGGAGAAGGGAACGTCGCACGCTTCCTGTTCTCCCTGTTTGGCCAGAAGCACGATGCTGTAAATTTAACCCTCATCGACAGCTGGGTAGATACAGCGATTTTTCAGCTCAAAGACGGGAGCAGTAAAGAAAAAGCCGCTGTGTTCCGCGCCATGAACTCCGCTCTCGGGAAGAGCCCCTGGCTGGTGGGGGACGAGCTCACGGTGGCAGACGTCGTGCTGTGGTCCGTGCTCCAGCAGACGGGAGGCTGTGGGGCGCCAGCACCGGCCAACGTGCAGAGGTGGATGAGGGCCTGTGAGAACCTGGCCCCTTTCAACACCGCCCTGCGGCTCCTTCAGTGAATCCCTCACTGATTTAAAGGGCTTCCATTTGAAGAACGGTGCTGTCCTGTGCCTATTACTGGTAAAGGGACTTGTCCTAAAATCAAAGTCTTTATTTAAGCCAGTTGTCAAGTATCAATAAAAACATCATAGAATTAATCTGTGGTTTTCCTTTTATTTAAAATCCAGCAACACCGTGTGCAGTGCACTGTGACAGCTGCCAGCTACGTGGCAGGCACACTGGGATAGAAACAGGAACGTGTGACGTCACTGCCTCTGGGGAATGCGGATGGTGGGGAACCGAGTCTGTGCTGAAGGGGGAAGCACCGCGGGGGCAAAAGCGGAGACACTGCTGGTGGAGCTGCTTCGAGATCATTTTGGGGACAAAGGAGCACAAAGCTTTGAAAGGGCCTGGGCCTGGGATGATGCCAAGGTGAAGGCAAAGACGACTGAAAGAGGCTAGGTGCTGTGCCCGTGCAGAGATGAGAGGCAGCAGACACTTCAGAGCCAGTGGCCTTCTGGTAATGGGCTCGGGCCGCAGTGGGGATGGAAGGGTTGTCAGGAAGACAGGCAGTGTCCCAGCTGGGACAGTCCAGCTGGTGCGCGGACCTGGGCAGTGATGGGTCTCTGCGGTAGAACCTTACAGAGGACTTTATGGTCAGTAGGCAGAGCTCCAAAGAGCCCATGATTTTAGAGACTGGTGAGATGGGAAGAGTAAAGTAGGAGGTCCGGGAAGGGAGCTGGTAGGACAGGAGAGGAGCAGGAGCAGAACGGGTTCCATCTAGTGCGGCCTCGAGTTCAGAATGCCAGCCTTGAAGAGCTACTGCAGGAAAAAGCAGCGGGGTGCTTTCACAACCTCACCTTAATAAGGCTTACTAAACACAGGTAAGTATCAGACCATCTATACCCTAACAGAGATTGAAAATTTACATTCCAGTTGACTAGAGAGTTTCAGTCCGCTTTCATACTTATAGAGGCTGCTGAGGTGAGACGCCGACCCCCTCCTCCTTCCCGTCATCCCTAACCCCTCTGCCCCGAGACAGGAGGCTCAGCTGCTTCTTTAGTTCCTCGATTTCTTTTTCTTGCTCTAGTATCTTCATCTGTAGGGTGAGGTTCACCTGCAAAGAGAGAAACTTTTAAGCTCCATGAAAATGTCTTCCTCCCTGACTTTTAAACACACAGGCCTGCCTCGCTCTGCACAGCTCCGCTACATGTGGGTTCCAGTGTTTCCGGTTTGTTACATATCACCCAGCACAGGGTCAAGTGTCAGTTACCAAGGGACAGTGACAATAATTCCATTAGTCCTTCGGGCCGTAAAATGCTATGTGAACAGCCATGCATGTCATAACCAGGGACAGCCCCACACTTCTTTCACTTTCGCTGGGGGTGGTCACTGTGCATGTGTTAGTGGTTCACACAGGCAACATCTCCCAGGATAAACCCACATGACCCTGTAAACAAATGGATCATCGCGGGGGATTTGGCCCACGAGATCAAAGTGCAGCAAAGTAATGAAAAGTTAAGGCGATGCTGCGAGTGAAAACCAAATCGAACATGAACAGTGTTAACAGCTGAAACAGCTGATCCTGGGAATGCTGACCCCGCCACCAGCGGACAGACTGTGAAGATGCCTTCTCAACATAAACAGGAAAAAGATGAAGATATCCCAGAGAAAACGTCACATTAAAAGAACCCTTGGACACAGATCACAACACCCAAAGTGCCAAGGATAAAATGCCGGAAACAGACCCAAACTTAGGAGTAGAATGAGTCACCAGGGCACAGAAAAGACACCCCTCCATGCCCTACGTTACGAGACAGATGCAGGAGGGCACCTTTCAAACTACTCTTGAAACACTTTAATTCTCAATTATAGTTTTGTAACTTTTCACTTTCGCATACATCTGCAACTGACAATAAAGACTTCTAATGTTTTGACAAACGCTTTTAGAGGTCATGGGACAGCTGTAACTTTTCCCATTGATTATGAAGACCCTTCGGCGTGCCTTGAGCTCTGCATGGTCATTTTTACAGTCCGGCACCACCGTGCAAAGCAAGGATGCCTGTCTCTGCAAAGTTCTCTGTACAGGTATGTGCAGGTGATTTTATAAATAATTCTACAAGACAGGAGAAATTCTTACCCCTACTACCAAATAACTATGGTCTCTAATAGCTGTCTTTGCAGGGAGCTAAAAAATTCTCTCCCTGTGAGGCAATAAACTTAATAACCACATATGCTGTTTTCAAAGACTCAGCATAGAGCCCTACAGCCACCTGTGTACCACTCAGTCTAGGAAATTTCACTGTTCGACTTGAAAGCAAATTAGCCTTAAACAGAAAGACAAATCAACTGAACAGCTGTAAGTGGTACCCAAACCAGCGTGCCTCAGAGCCACTTGGAGGGGCTGTGAAAGCACAGACAGTGGCCCCTTCTCCCCCAGATTTCTCTATTAATAGGTCAGGGTGGGGGCGAGCCTGAGAATTCCATCATATCCCGGGTGATTTTACGCTGCTGGTCAGGAGACTACACTGAAACCAGTGCCTTCATGCAGTGCTGCTCAAACACTGTGTACACCCCATGGAGCTCTGTTAAGACGCAGCTCTGGGCTGGAGCCTGGCAGCCTGTGTTTCCAAACAGCTCCAGGTAAGGCTCAGGCTGCTGGTCTGGGGACCCATTCTGGGCAACAAAGCACGAAAGAATCTGTGACTTCATCTCTGAATCAAGCTCTTGTACATCTTAGAAAGTTTCTGTTTCTAGCAGGGAGGAGGAAGGGGAGGGGCTGCCAGGGGCACCACCTCACAGGACAGAAAACCAGACTCACAACTCAGAGCTGAGATCGGAGGCGGATGAAGGCGGTCTCGGCCACAGCTGCTCCAGCTCCCCTAGAGGATCACTGCTGTCCTGTATCCGCTGGTGTGGGGCCCACTTTACTAGTAGATACTTTGTAATAAAGGCCAAATGCCACAGCTGGAAAGGAAAGCTGAAACTTTCTGCTGCAGCGAGATGAGGCCAGAACCGAAGCCCATACTCCTAGATTGACCGCTGGCAGTGTCCTCCTGCACTTGGACTGTGATGCCAAGTGTGCCACTGGGAACTCTGAGAATGGGTTTAAATATTGTTTCCATAAACCTGATTCTAAGCTCAACCGTTTTTCGTGAAATAGCATTCACAACTGAAACCAATTCGATTTTAAGCTTCATGTTTTCCCCAGTATTAAAAAAGGCTTACATACATTTCCAGCACTTTGGAAAAGTTCGCTTTGCAGCAGCTGAACAGCAGACGGCCTCTGGGCTGAGTTCTTTCTCGTTAAGTGCTGGATGTACTTGGCTTGTACGGGACACCTTTTACTGAGAGAGTCAGGGATCTGGCCAGTTCTCAAGCCTGTTAAAACTTTTGCTCGCTCCATTTCTGTTCCAAACGGCTGGAAGAGCTCCAACAGAATCACACCCAAGCTGTACATATCCGACTAGAAAAGGGGGGAAGCGGGCATTTAGTAGGGAAATACACAGTCAAGTGATGTTTCCATTTCCCCATACCTTCCTCTCAAAAGCGAGAGGATTTCCTTCAACAGAGGGAACGCAGTGGGCTGGCTTGTCCCTCACGGCGGCCAGTGTCCGCCAGCCAGAGCCGTTGCCCTGACTGCCAGGTGACTGGACTCGCCATCCTCACCTCTTATTCCACAAGGGGCATTCATGGGCCGGGCTCCAGGCAGGCATGATCCCCATACAACCCTGAAGTCGGGGCTTGGCCCAGCCCGAGAGAGCTGGGACCCGCACAGGGTGGAGCCAGCTACAGGGGTCACGAGTATGACCTACGCCAGTCCCAGCTCTGCCTCTGCTCAGAGATAAGCATTCTTGGGGAAGTTTAGGGAACTCTGCATAAAATCTGATCCTCTTCCTAAAAATAGTCTTTTAGGAAGGCCTTTACCAGGTAGGAGTTCAGAAGCAGCCACAGTTTTTCTGGCAGCTCTTTCCTAAGCACTAAAAAGCTGAATGATTCATCAAAAGGAAGAAAATGTTCTGAGCATTTACTCTCATATTTCTTCAAGGAGCAAAGCGGATTAAAACTTTTCAGTATCTTCATTCCACTTCAAAGGGAGAGTCACCCTTGCCTGAGGCATTTATTTACCTAAACTTGAAAGCAAAGACTGAAAACAGATTTCTGGGACTCCTAGCTTCCTCAAGGGAAAGTAGTATTTTAAAAGGAAAGCTCATTGGGAAGTTATCTGTGACACCCACGGATTCAGACACAGTGATGTAGCCTAAAAAAAGCAATGCAGTCAGATTCAGCTGAGAAGTGAGGCCTCATCTTACGGCAGTTTGATGTCAGAGATGACCGACCATGACTCGGGTATCTCCAAAATCTCCCCTACGTGGGAACTTGCACAGCCCTTCCTGTACTTTCTGTTACTTCTGGCTGCAGCGCAAGTCCACCGAGTGGGCAACAACCATTACCTTGGCATCATACTCGGATCCTTCCAGCTGCTCGGGTGATGCGTACAGACAAGTGCCCACTCTGGAGGTATGCGTTGGTGTCCCTGTAATTTGGAAAGCCAGACATGAAGCCCTGCAGGGTGAGCCCTGTCCACATGGAGAGCCCTGGCTCTGAGCAGGGCACTGCAGCTCCTAAGGGAAGGACAGCTGTTGTTTTTAAATCTCTCCTTTGCTATGATGTCTTCATGATTCTTGGTGGGGAGGGTGTAGCTCAGTGGTAGAGCACATGCTTAGCATGCACGAGGTCCTGGGTTCAACCCCCAGCACCTCCATTAAAAATAAGTAAATAAATAAATAAATTTAATTATTCCCCCCCAAAAAGTTTTTTTAAATAAAATAGTTGGACAAAAAAAAATTTTTTTAAGTCTTTATGGTTCTCTTTAAATATGGCCAGTGTTCAATCATGTCTTTTTTTAATGCAGAAACAAAATCTACAACCAGCATAAACTTACTCTTCCCATTTCTGCTGCTCCAGTCTGTGTTCTTCTGTATGATGTCTGTGCAGGCCAGGCCAAAGTCTCCTATTTTTACTTGCTGATCAGGGCCATGAAGAAAAATATTTCTGGGCTGGAAACAAACAGAACAAGTCAACTCCTTGGTGTTCTAAAACACACAGTAAAGATGTGGGGCAGTGAAGAATTTTCAACTTAGGAGCAAGTAGCCTCTCACAAATTAAAAATCAGAGCAGTGGTTCTCAAACTCAGCTGCACGTTAAATTATCACTGGAGGAACTTTAAAAACTCAGCGTCCAACCCATTCCCCAGACCAATTAAATCAGAATTCCTGTGGGTGGATACAGGCATAAATATTATTTAAAAGTCCCCAGTTTATCCCACGGACATAGATCACGCTAGTATATAAGTGCTCCTCAGGACCTCAGAATCACCAGTGAAGCTTTTAAAAACTACTATTTTTTTTCACAGCTCCCAGGTGATTCTTACATGTTAGCCACGGTCAGGAACAACCGGATCACACTCTACAGGTATATATAGGTTTCGCTCTATTTAAGCAACGATCAGACTCAAAACATCTCCCAGTGGAACTATTCCTTTACCAGTGAGAAAACACACCTATACTGGGGGGGTTCCACTAACAACTAAAAAATATTTAGGTTAAATGTGAGGTTTTCTTAATTTAAATGTAATAACTTACGTGTTTTATTTGCATATATAAATTCCTCTGTTTTAGCTTTGTCAGTTTTTTTAACTACAGCTGAATGGGAAGAGAAAACAGCAACAATCTTACAGGTAAGATGATACTCTGGGTATTTTTGGGGGGACTGAGTAGAAAGTCCTGAGAACTGTGCTGTATCTGGCACCACACTCAAGACACAGAAACACGTGAGAAAGTCTGGCTCTGATACAAAAATGAATCGTGTTCATGGATACGATTCTCAACAATCCTAGCCTAGTTCTAGAACCACACTGAAGAATCACAGAGACTGAAAGTGCCCTTCTCTGTAACAAGTTTTCCCTGAATTCCTGAGTCCTTGCACGAACTTTTAACTCATGGGAAACATAACCAAGAGAGGCAGCAGGGAGCTGGGCGCTGATGGTGCCAGGTCCCCAGAAGAGAGCCCGCCTGCGGGACTTCACACCAAACTCTACGAGGCCATCATGAGGGAAGACTGCGCCGCAATCCAGGCCCTCCTGAGAAGCCACCCCGTCAACCAGCCCATGACCACGCTGGCCACCTCCACCAGCTGCAGGTTACCGCCAAACCAGGTACCCTCTTTCTCTGCTCAGTCACTTTTAGAGGCTTCAGAAGGGATGCCCCCTAATTCCTGAGGACGCGCGACACCTCCTGGCGGCCCGAGGCTGGACAGGACACCCCGGCACACCGCACACCGGGGCGGTGTTCTTGTAAGTCTGCGAAGCCCCCCTCACCAGCACACGTGAACTGGTGTGAGCAGAGACTAGAGCTTGTGTGGCTGGAAGGACATCAGTGTCACCCTCTCAAACATACCCATGGTATTGTCTGTGTGACCGAATTATTTTTCCCCTTTTTTACATATACTTTTTCACTTTCTAAATCTTTATACAATGATTATTTACCTTTATAATTCAATTTTTTTCCCAAAAAGTCACCCTCTGCCCTTATCCTGCAGTCATGCTGTAAAGGCCACTACGTATGTATTTTAAGAACTCACATAACAGCTCTGCTGATCATAGACAGAACGAAAGCGGCATTAACTCTGAAACCGTGAAAATGCAGGTTTCACTACTAATACTATGACTTCGGCAAAGGCTTCAAAAACACAAAGCCTAACTGTCAATGACCCTGGGGTTAATTTAAGGACTAAGGGACTTAATAGCTGCTACCCTTAATTTTATACAATGAGCTCTTCACAAGAGTCAACTCACGAAGTTTTAAGTTATATGTGCTGCCGTGGTAAATCTGCATTTATGTAAAACACAAATTTTATCATACAAAATTAACTAGTTTGGGGTCATTTAAAACAGGCAAAAGAAAAGGAAAATTTCACAGCACAGACCAGAAAAAAAACTGAACCAAGGAGATACGAAATACAATTATTTCCTTTGAAATAGCAAGCTAACATAATTTTTATTTCTAACTACGTTGGGCTACTTGTAACGTACTTTGATTTCCTCCCCCTCCGAAGGAGATGGAGCCTGTCATCCCCATTCACCTGGCTGCCAAGCACCGCAGGGCACAAAGCTTGCTCTGTTTGTTAGAGCACGATGCCGACCCCGAAGTTAGGTAAGTTAACCCAACACCTGGCCGTTTTTAAACACGACTTCGATGTTGCTTTTCCCAGTCACATCTGGTCTCATCCATTCTCCGAGGGTCATGGACTACAAGTTATCATGTTCCCAATAAACCAGTATCTTTACTAACTAGATGAGGTCCTCTGAAAACCTGGAAATCACGCAAGAACACAAATCCATCACCCCACTTAAAGCATCGTGGGTACCAAGCACTCAGCAACGGTGCTGTGGAAAATGAAGTCCTGGTCACAGCCCTCAGGGAGTTTAACAACCTAAGTTAGACATGAAAAACAAAAAAATGCAAACAGCCAACAGATTTTCTTGTTTTCTACCCTCAACTAGACAGGACGCTTCACGAAAGAAGTGTACCTTGCTCCCCAATGTATCCTACTGCCTGATCTAAGGCTGACACTCCCTAAATGCCCGATGAATCCCAGATGAATGAATGGAAGAATTAAGCAGTATAAACAGACAGCATTAAAAGAAAATCAAGGGGAGGGTATAGCTTAGTGTTAGAGTGCATGCCTAGCATGCACAAGGTCCTGGGTTCAATCCCCAGTCCCTCCGTTAAAAAACAAATAAATAAATAAACCTAATTACCATCCCTCATAAAAAAACTTTTTGAAAAAAAGAAAAGAAAATCAAGCCCCAAATCCTTACCACGTTCCAGAAGGGCCCACCCGACCTGTCTAGCTCTCACCTCCGGCCTGCCCCTCTGTCCTGCACACCCCACCAGCTCTGCAGCTCCTCACGGCCCTTCTACGACTGAACCCTCCCCTCCAGCCCCTCCTCCTCCAGGGATCCTCAGGACACCCTTCCCACACTTCCCACCACAGGCCGCCCTGGGGGAGGCCCCCCTCCCCCTCTAGGACTTTGCCCCTCCCCCCCAATGTCACTTAGACCTTTACGTTGGATGCTTACAAATGTGGCTGTGAGCTCTGCAAGGTGGGGGCCCCTGCTGCTTCACCTCATCCCCAGCCCAGGGCCTTACCCCCAATAAACAGGTGAACTCAAAATCATCTCACTTCAGTGGAGCAGTCAGATGTTCATCGTAAACCTGCCCTTTCCTCTGCCAAAATCAAGGAATTTGGGAGGCAATCCTGAGGGATTCCAGTAAGGGTGATGGGGGCCGGGCTGTTAAACCCTCATTCTGCCTGGGCTGGAGCAGGGATGGAAAATAGACTGGCCTCCCTAACTTGAGATTCAAGCCCTGTCACACACACACACACACACACACACACACACACACACACACACGCGCGCCAAAGATGTCAGCGGGAGGAGCACGTGCAGCGTCCCCGAGAACTGGGTCAAAGGGCGTGGCGGCCCCTTCCAGCTCGCGTCAGTGGTAATCCCAGGTCACACGCGAGTCCACACAATTTTACTGAATGACTAACTCAGCACAGCACCATGTGAGACACTGGGACAAAAATAACTGAAATGCAGCCTTGGAGAGGCTGCCATCCTTGCAGGAGTCACAAAGCTGACACGAGCCACTATAGGAGGCTGGGCCCCTCCACGCTGGGATGCATACCGTGGTACCCCAAACGCTGTGAGACCCCGAGAAATGACACAGCAACACAGAGTTTCAAACATTTCTTTAAAGTAATTAAGGGGGGTTTCTTTAAATAAATCTTGCCTTCTTATAAGCATTAGTTCTTCGTGTAAAGCCACCCCCACTGAGGATGTAGTGTGATCTGTGATCACTGCCTATTGCAGGGACACAAGAGGGCTCACCACACTCCACCTGATGCTCCTGCACTGGCCGATCGCGTCCACCACATGGACCAAGCCGGGGAACCGAATCCAAAGGATCCTGACAGACATCCAGAGCAACGCGGTCCTGTGCCTCCGCATTCTGTGTGAGCATGGAGCTCAGGTGAACGCTCGCACTGGGAACAGCAACAGACAGTCCCCGCTCCACCTGGCCACCACCTACGGGACCCACATAGTTCTCTCCATCCTGGCCCAAAACGGCGCCCAGGTCAATGCCCTCAATGAGTCCGGCATGACCCCTCTTCACATGGCCGCAGAAACCCTGAATGAGGAGATGCTGGAGATGCTCATCGCCTGTGGGGCCAATGTGAACTGTGCTGTCCCATCCACAGGGAGCACGGCCCTGAAGCTGGCAGTGTGCATGGCCTCGGGCAAGGCTGGCCGGATGCTGGCAGCCGATGTGAGCTGCATCCGCCTGCTGCTAGTTCATGGAGCCGAGGTCAACGCCCAGGACCGCGAAGGTGAAACCGCCATCCACGAGGCTTGTTTTGGAGGCAGAGAGGCAATAATCAACCTCTTGCTCGAATTTGAAGCAGATGTTAACGTGTTAACCAGAAACGGAGAGACCCCGCTCTACATGTACCTGCAGCGCAGCTCCAACCTAACAGACACGGCCCTTCTTGCCCGGCTACTGTCCCGCTGTCATCCCCTGAGACTGACCAACAACCAAGGAGTTCTACCTGCGGGAATCACGCTTCCAGAATTCCACCCCCTAAGGGAAACCCTAATAAAGTTATCTCAAAAACCCTTATCCCTACAGGACATTTGTAAAAGAAACATCCGAAATATTTATGGTGAGAAGTACAAACAACTCTTGAAGAAGCATCTGCCAGTGAAGATCTGGAATTCTGTGTACAGTTATTATGACTTAGCTTGCCTCTTGAAATGAGATCTCCAATTTCACAGTGCCCCAGAACTTCAGGAACTCGCACTGCATCTCTGGCTAGACATCGACCCAGAAAATACCGAACCTTATACGTCTCAGATGTACAAACTATTGGTTCTTAAACCTTTTTCAAAAAATAAAATGATTTGTACATTGACCTTTTCTTCCTAAATATTCTTTTAAATGCATTTCCCATGATTTAATTTTTTACCAAAAAGTAAGCAATTTAAAACCCCAGCCACAGAAGTAAATGTATCTTCTCTTTCCTGATAGTCCTTTATAAAAATTAGGATAGTCATAAATTTTTAAAACAGCTGAAAAAAATTTCCCATGTTAAATTTTCTTTAAGTGGATAATTACAGAAATAGATTTTACCTCTAAGGTTGAAATGAGTATCTTTGTCAGCATTAAATACATTTAGCATCATCCATTATGTTAGTGCTCAGAGCACACTTACCCCCTGAAAACAGCTAGAATTGTCAATTGCCCAAAGATTACTCCTTTTAAATTCAATCTAAGTTTTCACATTCTGGACCTACAGAGCAATGATTTATATAAAAGTAACGATAATCTCCAAAGTAAATGAACTAGCGTATATAATCTCAACGAATTTAATTCAACAAACCAACAGCAAGTCAGCCCTGAGACTGACTCAGTCTCCCTCACTTACCTTTAGATCTCTGTGAACAATTCCCATGTTATGTATGTAAAATACACCTTCCACCAATTCTTGAAAAATTTTTGTTGCAACACTGGCCATAACATAAGGACCTTAAAGTAAAAACAAGAGTTTTATTTCTCTAATATTTTTTCATTCATTACATTAACATCAAAATGCAATGAATGCAGTTTTAAATCCATTAAAATCTGATACCTACACAACATTCAGATTTTCAACACAGTCAATACTCCAAAATGGTTTCAAAACTAGAAATTAGCAGGGAGGGCTCCTCGGCAAACGAAGAAGTCATCACAAACTAGTTCCCAGCAGTTGATGGACTCATGTCACCAGGAAGAGAGGACCTCTCATGTCACTCAGGGCCCCTGTATTAACTGCTTTGTAACCAATTCTCAGGCATTAGGTGGCTAGATTAAACTACATTTAGGTCCCCTTCAACCCCTGACATCCTGTTTAATGCTAATAAACCTGGTGTCCTGGCCCACTGTGGATTAAAGATATTATTACGAATAACAGAATGAGAAAAAAAGGTAAATTATATTAGCACAGGGAGTAAGCTTCTATCACCTGGAAAATCTAGAATGCCACATTTTCCAAAAATTAGTGACAAATGAAGTATATGGGGGAAAAGTAAGTGAAGTAATTCATCTATTAGTATGATGACATCATATGGGAACTTAGAGGATGGAGAGGTCTTGTAAGACTAAAAAATTGATCAAGAAAAAATATTGGAGTCTTCTAGCCATGTAAGTTTAGTAACATAATAAGATTTAACGGATCCTCTCTATTTATTAAAAATCATAAACCTATTGTTTACTTTCAAGTACAAAAACACTATATGCTCCCTTCTCCTTCCTGAATGAGCCTCCTTCATTATAAAGCTCAAACCTCCTCCACACCCCCCTCTCACACGATCTAGCATGTAATTCAGGGACCTGAAGTAGTCAAGACAGAGAACTATGAGAGTGTGTGTGTGTGTGAAACCAATGGTTCTACTCCAAATACCTCTACCATGGCTCCCCCTCACAATGAAGTGAGCACTTTGTCTACAATGCGAGGAGGGCTTTTTGACGTTCGTAACTATTCAGAATAACTCCCTTCCTTTGGTCTGTCTTCAATATGCTTCTGACTGCAACCCACCTAACACATGCGAACACAGAGGGTTCAGTAACCACACACAGACACGATCCAGTGACGACGGTTTCTACTCAGCCCTACATCCCTTACAGGTACTGCTTCAACCCTCACGATAACCCCATATGATGGGGATGACCCACACTTCACAGGTGAGGAACAGACTGAGAGCAGTGAACTGACTTGCCCAAAACCATACAGCAGCTGGGTCCTACAGCCATGACTCGAACCCAGGTCTCCCACTCAGGGGGTTGTTGGGGTCCGTGGTAGAGCGTGTGCTTAGCACACACAAGGTCCTGGGTTGAATAAATGAATAAATTAACCTAATTACTTGCCCCCCTCCAAAACAAAACAACCCCCCCCAAACAAAGAAACAAAAAAAAGATAAAAAAACTATTAAAAAATCTAATAAAATCTTTTCTAAAAGGGTGGTACCTGGGGCCACACCAGTAATTTTCATACAATTGGGTCTTGGATGGGGCTCAGCCTTTGGTATTCTGTGTGTGTGTGAAAGTCCTCTTATCGATTCTAGTACTGATCCAAATTCACCGTTTAATTCAGATTTCCCTAGCTTTTACCTAATGTTCTTTTTCTGTTCCGAGAGTCCGTCCAGGATATCACATTACATTTAGGTGTCCTGCCTCTTGAGGGTCCTGCGGTCTGTGACAGGTTCTCAGACTTTTCCTGTTTATGAAGACCTTGACAGTTTTGAGAAGTACTGGTCAGCTGTTTGTAGAATGTTCCTCAACTGGGATTGGTCTGATGCTTTTCTCATGACGAGACTGGGGTTATGGGTTTTGGGGAGGAAGCCCACAGAAATCCAGTGTCCGTCTTGTCCCCCCTCATCAAGGGCACGGACTATCGACCTCAGTTACTACGGCTCACGTCCACCCTGATCACTAGCTGAGGGGGTGTTTGTCAGGCTTCTTCCACTGCAAAGTTACTCTTTTTTATCCACATCAACTTTAAGAACTAGTGTTACATATTGTACAAATATTAACCTAAGAGACTATTTCCAGAGGGTATCATATCACTGCAGGGAGGGAGAGGGGTCTGTATCTTGAGAGAGACAAACTTGACCACACGCCCTTCTATAAGGGTTTCTTTAAAGGTTTCTTCTTCTAAAAGTACCATATTTTGAGGTTAAAAATTTTAAATAAAAAATTTAATTTTTCCTTAAAAAAATTTTTAAGACCTTTTCTACCCCAAATCATTAACGTAAATTCTAGCATATTACTGCTTAAATATCAACAAACTGCACCTATGACTGTGAACAGTAACTTCAAAACACTTACTTGTTTTTAAAAACATTGAAATAAGCATGATTGGGGGGGCAGTTTCAAAACTGATTTTTCTCCCCCTACCTAAAGCATCTGGAGGCAGAAGGTAGCAGATCTGACTGCACTTCCCGGCCCAGCACTTGAAAACCCACATGGTACTTACACGCAGACTCGTCCACACTCTGGCGGCCCCGGACGTTTCTCTCCGTGATCCAGTCCCACAGCGAGAGCTCGCACAGCTGCATCTGGATGTGCAGCATCAAGTGGTACTGCGCCTAGGGGGCGACACACCATGGCTCCACCTGTGCACCATGCACTCAGTTATTCAGTCAACAAACCTCCCTTGCCTACTCTAGCCCAAAGACTGGGCTAAGTGCTGGGGACAGGGAGGACAGACACAGGCTGGACCAAGAAGCCCAAAGCCTAGGGAAGGAGATGGACGAGTAAAGCAATACTTGGCGTGGTGTGTCACGGTCCAAGCTGGCCCCCCTGGGGTCAGGAAGGTGTTGACTGGACGAAGCTCTTGATCGTGACAGAGGCTGAGGGCCTGAAACCGCTTAGTTGGCTCCCAAGATAAAGAGTTTTTAGAGCTAAGATAAAGCATCAGATCAGCTGTATGGTACTGTCCTACTCTGTACACCCCAGAGTACATACACATGGCTGGCCTCACGTCGTACATAACTAATAAATCGTCCAAGAGAAAGGTAAGCAAAAGTTAAGCTCAGTGTAGCCCATTCAGGAAAATTTTCCCAATGTATCATAGAGAAATGAAACGATTCTGATGAAAAGTCCCTCAAACTCAACCCCTTACATTCAGGGGAACCTGCTCAAAGGTTTGTGTTTCATAGAAAGTATGCACATATCCCTGGACAATCAGAATGAACCCTACGTGCAGACACAGGTGCACATACAGTTCTGTGATCCCAACACAGCAGAGTATGTGTAGACCCTGTTAATGTTCGAGTTTCAATGCTAATACTCAGTAACGGTGAGAGTACGTGGCAGTCTCACCAGCACATGAGTGTAGTCCTAATTAGTGTAATCCATACCCTGAAAGCTGACCTGGTAGTCCCACTAGGACTCTTTCCTAAAGTCATGTTCCAAAATACAGAAAATCTTCCTGCATAAATACATTTTCATAACATGATGCTAACATACCACAGAAACAGAACATGCAAAATGTTTCCAATGCCAAGGTACATATATGAGACTGTCCAGAGGAAGGGCCCAGCCAGGGAGGTCAGAAAAGAATTAGCAGGAGTTAAATGGGTGAAGCAGGGAAGACCAAACACAAAGGCCAAGTGTCAGGAGGGAACATGGAGGGGAGAGACTCCACCCGAGGGCAGGAGAGCCAGAACAGAGACAGAGGAGGGCCAGGAGGGAAGCCAGCTCAGGAAGGGGCACAGCCGTGTCTAACCACAGTCCTCTGCACTGTTATTACGGGGAAACAGCAAGTCAGCAGGTTCTGGAAAGCAACCTACCTCTGTCTGCCCCAACAAGTTTAAGTTTTCTTCAGAAGACTCAGTGGAGAAGAAATTCTCTTCCACATCTGAATTATGTCTGAGCGGCAGGGGATGCCCAGCCATTGATCTGGAAGACCCGTCAACCAAGCCTTTTTCTTGGAGCTCAGGAGACGATTCAAATTCACTGGCATCTCTTGTAACTAAATTGGTGGTGTAATGCACCAATCTGTTATTCTGATTCTCGACACCAGCTTCACCTAAGGATTTTCCTTCTTCTGGGGTGAATTCGGCAAAGATAACGGATGAGCTGTTACTTTCATCACTTTTAACATCATAGTGATCTCTAGGGGGAAAAAAAACAGTAAAGATAAAAAATCAGTGTTAAAAAAGATCAACCATACCTCAATTGCTCCTTCAAGGCTGTCTGAATCTTACTGGTAAACTGAAAAAAAATTACAGCGTATCTATCATGGCACAGCACTTCCTTAAAAATACCAGAAATATCTGAGAAAGAAAATAATTTAACATTTTGTAATGAAAATGAGCAAAAAGTGTGAAACACTCCTGAGCTTCCAGTAGCAAAAGGCGAAGGCGACCGAGCGCAGGCGGCAGGAGGGAGGGTCTAGTGTGTGAAAGGGCACCCCAGCCCACGCACCTGGGGTCCTCCTGGTCGGAGATCACCTCCAGAGACGGCAGCTGAATAGAAATTCTATCTGCTGAACAAAAACAAAAGAAAATGTTCAAGCAGCCCAGTTTTCTAATTTACAGCCAAAAGCAGAGCTAAAATATATAAATAATACCAAGTGAGGCTACAAGTTAAAAATGTCCCAGCCTTCTGGCAACATGCAATACAACGAGCTTATTCCAATGACTGGCACATTTTAGGAATGAAAAAAAACGAGCTGTTCAACTATACA